TTTTTTACAGAGAGGAAGGGAAAGGGATAGAGTTAGAAACATCGATGAGAGAGAAACATCGATCAGTTGCCTCCTGCACACCCCCTACTGGGGATGTGCCTGCAACCAAGGTACATGTCCTTGACTGGAATCGAACCTGGGACCCTTGAGTCTGCAGGCTGACACTCTATCCACTGAGCCAAACTGGTTAGGGCTTATCATTACCTTTTTAAAAGGAACTTTTATTTTATCTTTTCTCAAATATATAGTAAAATTTATCTGTAGTCATTAGGCTAATTTTTTATTTGAAATAATCTTACATTTATAGAATAGTTGCAAAGATGGTACAAAATGTTCCTATTTATCTTTTATCCAGCTTCCTCTGTTATCATCTTACAGAATTATGATATAGCCATCAACCTAAGAAATTAACATTGGTACAATACTCTTAATTATATTCTAGAAACCCTATTTGGGTTTTTGTTTTAATGTTCTTTTTCTGTTCCAGGTCCAATCCAGAACAACATACATTATATTTAGTCATGTTTCATTAGCCTCTTCCAATCTGTGATATTTTCTCAGTCCTGAATCTTGAAGAGTAATAGTTAGAACTTTATAGAATGTCCCTCAGTTTGCATTTGTCTGATGTTTTCTCTGAATTATACTGAGTTTATGGATTTGGGGGAATAACACAAGTATGTATCCTCATCACATGATATCAACATGACTTATTACTTGTGATGTTAACCTTGCTCCTTTGGTTAAGTTAATCAAGCCTTGTAACAATACTATTAGATTATGATATAATTTTTGAGAAGACTAATGCTACTACAGTGTTAGAACCACACTTAATCCAGCTCTTTTATATTCATCTTTTTAAAAAATGTATTTTATTGATTTTAGAGAGGATGGGGGAGGGAGAGATAGAAACATCAATGATGAGAATCATTGATTGGCTGCTTCCTGCACGCCCCCTACTGGGGATTGAGCCTGCAACCTGGGCATGTGCCCTTTACTGGAATTGAACCTGGGACCCTTCAGTCCGTGGGCTGACACTCTATCCACTGAGCCAAACCGGCTAGGTCACCACCATTTTGTTACCACCTCTCCTTTGGCCCTGTGTTTAGCATGTGGACTCCCAGCAATGTCTGGGTTGCCTCCTCCAGCCCTGAGTGGGGAGATTTACCTGGAAGGCCTGGCTCAGGCCAAGGCTGGGGTCCCTTCCCTTTTCCATGCACTGAGAAGGTTGTGCTGGAGTGTCCCCGAAGCCCACTGCAAGGCTGACGTGAGGGTCTGCGGCAGGTGACACATACAAGAAGCAACCAATCCTCTTATATAATAAAACCCTAATATGCAAATCGACCTAATGGCGGAATGACTGGTTGCTATGATGTGCATTGACCACCAGGGGGCAGACGCTCAATGCAGGAGCTGCCCCCTGGCGATCAGTGCACTCCCACGGGGGAGCACCGCTCAGCCAGAAGCTAGGCTCACACTGGTGAGCACAGCAGTGCTGGTGGGAGCCTCTCCCACCTCTGCTATAGGCGGGCAATAAGGAGTGAGGGGTCCCAGGCTGTGGGAGGGTGCAGGTGGGGCTGAGGGACCCTCCCACCAGTGCATGAAATTTCGTGCACCAGGCCTCCAGTGAATGCATAATTAAGTGGAACAAATCAAGGTTTCTCTCTACTTTCCTCTCTAAAAAAATCAATGTTAAAAAAAATTTTTTGTAAAAACTTTCATTAAGTAATGTAAGTACCCACATGAAAAAGCCTGCTGAATCTCAGAAATAAAATGCCAAAGCCACAATTATGAAATGATTAAAAGGTCCCCTGAGAGTACTAGTCTGTTTTCCACCTCTGTTGGGTCTATAAATACAAGAGGAAGATTTTGAAACTAGGTAAAGAAATTACAAATACATACACATATTTCCATAAGTTAATCATTCAGAAACTGCACACTCGTCAGAGGGAAAGTCACAAAATAATGTGATTGAATTGTGACACCAAGTATTTCATATCCAACTATAAACCCATATTTACACTGTTTTGAGAGATATTTCGTTACTAACTTAAAAGAGAAACCACTACTTTCAATATTCAGTGGTTCTCAACCTTCCTAATGCCGCGACCCTTTAATACAGTTCCTCGTGTTGTGGTGACCCCCAACCATAAAATTATTTTCATTGCTACTTCATAACTGTAATTTTGCTACTGTTATGAATCATAATGCAAATATCTGATATGCAGGATGTATTTTCATTGTCCGAGGTCCAGAGGTTGAGAACCGCTGTAATAGATACTTAATTGTGAGTCTTTCCTGTACACCGTGTTAGAATATAAGCTTACTAAGGGCAGAGATACTCACTTTCAAATCTACCTCAGTGAAGTGACACTCAATAAATATTAGATTTTCATTGGAGGTACTTTGTAGTGTGAAGTGTACTCTCTAAACCAAGACTAAACACCTCTGTGCTGCCACTTCTGGTTTACACAATAAGCAGACTGCACGTATACTTCAGGTCACCAGCAATGCCAGAGTAAAAAGACAAAAATACCTTCTTAAAGGATTTAATCTTTCAGCAAAAGCATGGAAATAGTCATCAAGGGGGAAAGCAGAACTTCGTTGGACTTCTTTATACTTATTTTTTGTTTTGTATTATTTTTATTTTATTTACATATGAGGTGAGGTGATGAGACGTCAAAATCTTTTCAGTGCTTAGTCCCTCCAAAAACCTTATCCAGCTCTACTATATGCATCTTAAACTGTCTTAAGTTTTATTTACTGTTATTCAGCAAAAGTATTTTATTTCATGAAAATTATAACACATGTGTACCTATGTTATGAGTTACATAAGTACAGTTTAACATTCTTCCTCATTACAGTATCTTCTCTTAGCAAGAACCCATAATAATGCTAGAAAGCAATTCTCATAAATTGGGTTAATGCCAGTTTTCTCTTATCAGCCAACAGTGCTACTATATCATCACACCCTCCAGCTGTACTAACATATGACACAGTTAAGTTCTGAGAGTAATCAGAAGTAAATTGTATTATTTATGGTATTTACTGGTAAAAATGGAATGCTAAATGTTCTATTTGAAGTGTCTAAATATGTGCAAGAAAAGAGTTAATTTCTTGTGTAGTTCACGCTTGATTCACATTTGAAGTTGAGCCACATAAGAAAAGAGCTCTGGTTATTTTTTCTCTCTCTCTCTCAACAATTCAAAGAAAATACTGCCAGATTCTTCCCAGCTTACAGGACACCTCCCCCTCCCCTCCCCAACCAGCCAGTCTATTGCTAGATAATTACCCAGATGTTTCTGGTGATTTTGTTGCTGATATTCCCAGTATACTTCAAGGAGCTGGGTACAGATGTTACTTGAAGATATACTTGCTCGAGGCTGGTGCCAATTACACCACTTGTCATTTTTTGCTTGGTTTCATTTTGACCACTGGGTGCATCTTGTAACCGTGTTGGGTATTTTTAAGAACAAAAAATATAGAAAGCTGTAGTTAATTAACCTGACCCGGCTAAAAGAGGAAGTTTAAAAGCACAGAGAGAACTAGTGTCTCGGATGTTTGAAATTAACAATTTACATTTAAACCCTCTTTCCCCTCCTCTCCAAAAAACAAGCCCCCATCTATGTATGTAGGCTAAGTGAGAACTCTGGCAATAATAATAATAATAATAAAATGGCCTTGTTAGAAAACCTTCCCCGGGATTTAAGTTTCGCTTTAAAGTTAATTGCTTTTCTCCCTTTCCCTGAAGAAATGGAATGTTTCCGTCTCGAGTCCCTGGAACATGAGGGTTTCGGAGCTCATCATGGTTTCTCACCTACATACCACGTCTTTGGGACTCTCTGACCTCACTTTACAAAAGGCTTTTGCTTTTGCTGAGCACCGCTGCTGCTGTCAGTCGGGTCTCTCCCTCCACCCCACCGCCCCGGGCTGATCGGGCAGGTGCGAGGCCCGAGCGGCGGAGCGGAGGCCAG